TGGCCATGCCGCAATCCCTTCTCCTCCGTTCTCCTCTTGGGATCTTGGGTACGCACACACACGCGCCCGGCATGAGTTCCAAGCCACCGGGTCCGGGACGTGAACCGCAGTCGACTCCATGGGAGTCCAGCGACATAGCCATTACACTAACTACTGGTCCCCATATCTTGTGTGAATTTTAAGTCACTGGGTCCAGGCCTCAAACCACGGTTGGCTACGTGGGAGTCCAGCGATATAACCATTATGACATCTGCTGGTCCCAAATCCTTTTGCCTCTTGATATTTTAACACAATCAGTTGGATGAGGGTAATCCCCATATCCAATTCCATAATTCTAGGCTTCTGGGCTATGACTCCAGTACCTTCACTAACCTACAGGAATAAACCACGCTGCCCCAGATCATTCAGCTTCATTATCTGCAATTCTCCACCTATACTAGAAACACCATTAAACTTTTTAGTTATTTAATTAGCTAGTTAATTCTCATATCTTGCACTTTCATACTGATATCAGTATTTTAAATTTCCACTGTATTAGCCAAGGAAGTCGTTAACTAGCTGGACTAACTAGGGAAGGTTGTGAGTCAGCCTGCCTGGTAAGTTACTCCTAAGTCAAAATACACTAGGATGATGCCCAGCACACACCCTGGAGACTGAGTGCCATGGAGACCCTGGCAGAACTGAATGAATTAGCAAGTATACATAGTGAGTTTGTGCTTAGCAAACAGGCATAATTGTAACCCAGATACCTCCAGCAGTGTGACGGGGTGCGTCTGGAGGTTACAGAGTAGGCAGGCACATCAGGAGTTGGGGTTGTCTGAGGAGTCCCTCTAGGGCTCCTTTTGTTCGGCACTGCTGGCGTCAGCCTGCACACTTGCAAGCTCAGAGTATACAGAATCCCTTTTGCTCTACAGGTCACTTCTCAGGATGTCCTTGGCTGAACTTTGAACCAGAGGAAAACAAGAAAGTAAACACTCTTCCCTTACCCCAGCCATTTGTGTGTGTGTGTGTGTGTGCATGCAATACTATACAGTTGTTTTAGAAGCTAGAAATAATCTATGTCACTTTCTAGCTCTTGATCCTTCAAGTATTATTAGTTATTTTACTTCTGTCCCTCTGGGTGTGCAAGTTTCCAGTTTATAACGGTTTGGGTTTTACTATATAAGTTTGTTTAAATTTTTCAACTTATGAAATACTTTCACTTATAATTCATAGATGAAGTTTGGATTTAAGAGAGCTAAGGAGGAGAGAGCCACTTTTTTTAAAGAGTGTTAGAGAGAAACAGGTTTTAGATGCTACAGGCAGAGTTTAAAGCGCACAGGTAGCAAATACAACTGTGGTCCGTTAACCAAGAGCCTGACACAGAAGATGGGATTTATGCTCCGTGAGAACGACTTGCAATTACCACAGCAAATGTTGACTGTGGGAAAGATCACAGAATTCATAATTTAGAAAATAGAAATTCTGGGTTCTGGGTCGTCCATTTATTTTCTCACTATCTCCTCTGGTCACCCTTCTCACTCCTTTTCGCTGATGTGTAACTTTAAAGAAAGCACATAACTATTCTGGTTGATAGTTAAAAAAAAAGAAAAAAGAATGTAAGCCATAACTATTCTGGTTGATAGTTAAAAAAAAATAATAAAAAAAAAGAATGTAAGTTGTCAGAAAGCAGAGGACCTCTTCCTGCTCTAAGAGTTTAAGTTTGAAACTGGAGTTTACGCATGGCTGGGTCTCATTCTCAGTACACAGCTTCCCCTCTCCCCCGGCCCCATACATGGCTAATTTGCTTAGCAGTCCTCTTCCCCAGGGCACAGACGGACTGCTCACCCCTCTGAACGTCTCTGGTGCACCTGCTCCTGTTTGAAAAGCTTACCTTAATGGCTCATGCAGCCTCTGCTGCACCTGCGTCCCTTGATTGTGACCAAGCAGATGGTAGGAGGTGGCTGGGATGCATCAGCTGCAGAAGAGGACAGGGTTCTGTTGGGAAGGCAGGGAAAGGAGAGAAAACTTCAACAGAAATAGTTCAAGTGTTTGGAAGTTAAAAATAAAACGATATCACAAGGGGCAATGTGACCGGGCTCAACTTACTCTTTCCTTCTCTATTTGTCAACACTCTACTGTCTCTATTTGTCTCTACTGGAGTGGCATTTAGCATTGGAAGCTGGATGAAAGAGGGGTTTTATATCAATGGGCTTCCTTTCCCCTGAGGAAGGAGGAAAATCCTTTTAAGAAGAATCGTTTTTAAGGCCAGAGCAGCCTCCAGAGGCTGTTGGAGTGCTCAGGACAGGCTGCGGTTCTAATTATAACCTTGCTTCTCACCTCAGCCCATCACTGGCTGAAGCAGCAACTTGTGCAAGTGACATGCTGTCCCGTTTCCATTTCTCCTATTTCTTGTCATGACAAGCAGCTGTCCACTCCTGGCTCTGATCTTTCTCAGGTGCCTGCGAAAGGGGACTTTGTAGTTCAAAAACGAGGCAGGAAGTAAGTATGGTGTGAGAGAATGTGGAAGACACTGAGCTGTCCAACTTCTTTTAGAGATGAGGAGATGGAAGGTTCAGAGAGTTGTTCACCCAAGCTCACCCAGCTCACTGGTGAAAGAACCAGAGGAAAGATCCAGCTCGTTTCACTGCCCACTTTAGTGTCCTCTTTTCTTCTTTTTAAAATTCTCTTCAGATAAACTCTCCTTGTCTTTCTCTCTCTCCTTCTGGGCAATATAGGGTTGTCTTTTTTCTTCTTTCTTTTTTTTTTTTTTTTGCTATAGGGTATGTGTGCTTGCCAGAGAGACAGAAAGCGAGGACCCCCCCCCCCCCCAGGGGGAGGTCCACACTGCAATCCCTTCTCCTCCATTCTCCTCTCAGGATCTTGGGCACACACGCACACGCGCCCAGCGTGAGTTTAAGCCACCAGGTCTGGGACTCGAATCGCGATCCCAAGGGTTGTCATTTTGTTAATCTTTTCTTTTCTTTTCGTTTCTTTTCTTTTCTTTTCTTTTCTTTTTTGGAGAGATTTTCGCTATAGGGCGCGTGCGCTCACCAGACAGACAGAGAGAGACATAGAGACAGAAAGCGAGAAATCACCCCCCAGGGTCAGTTTTAAGCCACGGGGTCCGGGACGTGAACCACGGTCGACTACGTGGGAGTCCAGCGACATAGCCATTATGCTCACTGCTGGTTCCCATCAGTAAATAATTCTTAAAAAACGTTGTCAATATGTTTGAAGAAGTGTTCATCGGTTGGTGAGAGGTCAGGTAAATATGGCAGACAAAGCAAAACTCTGTCGCCCAATTCATTCAACTTTTGTAGTATTGGTTGTGCAATGTGCATTCAGGCAATGTTGTAGAGAAGAACTGGGGGTGCTGGCAGGTGACATAGCCGTTGGGGGCGCTGGACTCTCACGTGGCCAACTGCAGTGTGAGTTCCAGACCTAGCAGCTTGCTTTCTCATTTTCCCTCTCCCTCTCTTTCACTCTGTCCCTCTCTGATCAAATTAAATAAATAAATAAATTCATACATAAATAAAGTTAAAATAATTATTTTTATTCATATTTAAATTTTGTTATTTTATTATTATTTTAATTAATTAATTAATTTACATTTAATCACATCTTTACAGTGTACATTTTTTCCAGCACAAATGCTATGTATGTTAGTCAAGCCAAAGATATTACTCTATAACTTATCAGCACATAGCTTCTCATTTTTTGACAATTAAGCACACTTTTACTTGTTTTTTCCTTCCCCTTCCCACTCTCTCCCTTCCATACTGAACTTTTTTTCCCCATATTTTATTGATTCACAAAATACCTTAAACTAAAAATACAGACAAAACTAGAATCTAGTTACAAGTGCCCTGTCATTTTTTTGTAACATTTAAAAAAATAATTCATTAATTTACATTCATTCCCTGAGCATTGTCACAGCATACAAAATGTGATTTCCCATTCAGAATATACTACATAGTGGCTTAATCATACATGTTATCATCAATAATTTTCCATTTCTAGTTTCACATATATGTATATGTATATATATTTT